TTCTCCTTCTGACTCGGCAAATACTTCGCCAATGGATGGAGAGGAGGTCTGCCAATAATTCTTCCTCGTACTTCATCGAACTCAATGTTGAGGTCGGCAAGAAACTTGTAAATACGGCTGTCTTCCACAGTTTTCTTGTGGTGGTTGCAGTCGTCAACCAATTTCCATTCGTATGTGTTGAAGATGTCAAGATCCTGCCACAACCTTTTCAACGAATTGAAATATTTGGTGACGGAATCATCTCCTTGACGAATCTCTCCCAACTTCAAAGTTAATTCGAAAACTTGAGATTGATTTCCTAGGCAGAATACATCTGGACTAACATTATCCCACAACTCTTGTGCAGTAGTATAGCACATGTAATTAGAGCTTATATCCTCTCCATGAATTGACCATCCATGTCATAACATGGAGTTTTCAGCGTCCCAACGTACGAACAACGGATCTTAACAGCAGGAGCCTTCTGTCACCAGTGATGTAACCGTCTTTCCTTGCCCACGGATATACATCCGGACAGATTGTGACCAAGCGGAGAAATTATCACCATTTAGGCGGATGATGGTGATTTTGACAGAGTGAGAGTTGGACGTTTTCACACGGAATGGCAGCGGCAGGGGTTGAAGTGGTTTCGGACGTGACTTCCGACATGGCTATGACGGTTTTAGGGCTGCTGTGTTTTTGTTGCTTTTATACCAACTTAGAAAATATGAGGAGAGAACTCCTCTGAAAATATGAGGGAAGAAGGAATATATTTCTGTTATATTCAAAACTTCTTATTTTACAAGACCAAATGACACTCCTTATATAGGAGATATTACAAACATCATTATAACCCATTATATGCCACTTACATATTATATATTACCACTATCTACCACTATCATATTATATACATGCAACTATCTGCCACCAACACCACTATCATATTCTATACATGCCACTATCTGCCACCAACACCACTATCATATTATATACATGCCACCTATGAAGCACGGATACGGACATGGACACGGACACGGATATGGACACGGGACACGGCAATTTTCAAAAAATGGGGACACGGACACGGCGGGGGACACGGCGAATTTTTTATTTATTTTTTAATTTTTATATGTTATGTAGATTCATATTACATTTATCCTAAATTAAAATTAACAAACACTAACATAGTAACATTAATTCAATAAATATAAGAGAGGTAAAAGATTTAACATCCAATAATAAATATAAGGGGAAAACATTCAACATCCAATAATGTTCTTCACATAAGCACATTGAAAAGTATAGTTCCCTCCTCTTGCACCAGATTTTTCTAATCTAGTCACATATTTCCACAGTGACTTATCATCTTCAGCATCAAATGCAGATTGTGTGTTACTGGCAGAATTTGAGCTAGACATTTTTCTTATAAATTATCACCATTATAAATTAACATTAACATTAGAATGATTTAAAAAAAAAAAAATGAGAACCATTATAAATTAACATCAACCTTAACATTATATATAAATTATAACCATTATATATATAAACCTATAACAATAATAATACATACAATTTATTCTCTCTCTTTCTCTATACATTATTTTTTACAATATATATAAACCTATAATTTTTTTAGATATATATACATATATATTAACATATAATTACAAACAAACAAAAAAAAATAGTTTTATATATACATATATGTTAACATATAATTACAAATAAAATAAAATAAAATAAAATCTTACATATATATTTATATATATAAACGTATTAAAAAATAAAAATAAAAATCTAAATCTAACTCAGTCAAGAGAGCAAAGAGAGAGAGAGAGAGAGAGAGAGAGAGAGAGGGCTTACCTTCGAAGTCGTCTAGATCGAAGGTCTGAGACAGAGACTGAGACGAGTGGTCTGAGACAGAGATTGAGGCGACGAGTGGATCGATTGAGACAGAGACTAAGACGAGTGGATCGGAGGGCTTCGATCGACTTCAACAAAGAGACAGGGTCTTCGACTGAGAGAGAGAGGTCTTCACAAGGTCTGACTGACTTCCTTCACTCTTTCTTTGTTCGATTTAGGGCTTTTACACATGTTTTTTTTTTTTAAATTTTTTTAAATATTACACTTTGACCCCAAATAAATATAATAAATTTAAAACTGAGCCCCGCTGTGTTCCATGGCATGTCCCAAAATGGACATGCGTGTCCCTGCCGTGTCCCCGCCGTGTCCCCTTCCAAAAAAATCATTAAATTAAAGGGACACGTACGTGTCCCCGGCATGTCCGCGTGTCGGACACTGCCACGGCACTGATTTTGAAGTGTCCATGCTTCATAGCATGCCACTATCTTATTATATACATTAACACAAATTTCCAGCAGATCGGATTTTTTTTTGAAAACCTTGTAATGTGTTTTATGTATTTTCTAAGCTATGGACACATGTATTGTTTGAAAGGTGTCCAAGTGTACTTTTTTCAAAAAAATAGGATAGGTTTTGTTAGAATTTCCCATCTTTACCTTCACCTACTCCACTACACACTCCACTTCACCTACCTCCACTTCACCACACACTCCACTTCACCTAACCCACTATCACCTCCACTACACCTACTACCACATTTAGCTATGGACACATGTATTGTTTGAAAGGTGTCCAAGTGTACTTTTTTGAAAAAATAATAGGATAGGTTTGGACATGTCTCCATCACGTTTTGGACGTGTCATGAAGTGTTTGACGAGTGTTGGTGTTTGACACATGTTGGATATGGACATGTCACTTTCTTAGAAGTATTCGTGCTTCTCAGTATCTTATGATCTTTGATTTGGTTTGCTTGATCATGCAGTCTTGTCCTCTTTGTGTGCCTGTGTGGGTGCATCTGTCCGTGGAAGTTTTGGTAAATTATGTAAAATTTGTGGGACTTAATTGCAGGTGCTATAGGGAAAGGCGGTGTTGGAGCTCTAGAGCTTGTTGCCATGGACATGAAAGCAAGGTTATAATATAGCATTTTCATTTTGGAGCAATGTGTTATAAGTTACTATGTCAATTTAAGCACAGCTGTTTTTCCTCAGAGGGATGTATGTATGCCGTACGCTGAGCTACAAAGGGGCAGAGTTTGAAACTGTTGAAGTACCATTAGATGCCAAAATGATGGTATATTTTAATTTTCTTCTTTTGTTAATCAAGAGCAAGAAATTGAGTATTAAGTAAAATGTTTCCCTTTCTGTCAATTCTACTTTTGTCAACTATATGTGTTTTTGTTTCTTAATGTGAATCACCATGTGATATCTATGCTTATTAACTCTTTGAGTAGTTTCCTTACTGTTTAACACCTTTTAAGTATATCAGGGATACTGTTTTTGTGGTTAAAATTTGGCCCCAACAACCGCGAGGTTTTGAGTTTGAATATGACGAATTTTGTATAAATAGAGCCAAAATTTGGGTCTGTACACTGTCCACCCGTTGTGCACCTCCATTATTGGGGACTAAACTGAGCAAGTCCTTTAAAGTTATACGGAAAATGCTAATGCCTAGTCTTTCAGATATTGTGCAAGTGAAGTCAAAGAAATTTCTTATGTGCCTTCAAGTTTTCAGTTGGCATATTGAGAGATCATCATTGCTTTCATTAATTGTAGCAAGGACTGGTGGCAATCCTGAATGTTACTTCAATCTCAACTTGTTTATTGCTACCTAAAATGCTTTTACTAGCAATGCAAAAAAGAAGGAAAAAAAAATGGACTGATCATTTCCTAAATCAGATGTTATGAAAAAACTGGAGTACAGGTTTCACTCAACCTGTATGAAATGAATCCAGTAAAGAACACCAAACGGGAAATAAAAGAATCAACACAAGTTACTGTAACTCTGGATTTTTATTTTTTATTTCTTTTGAAGATGTCAATCAAAATAGGTGGAATGTTGGTACAGATCCTTGCATTTTTTCTTTTATTTTCTCTGTTATTATTCTTCATGTAGTGAGTGGTCTTTTCATCCTATCTTGCTTCTGTGTAAATATGTTGCGACAGTAGCACTATGTATTAAGTTTACTTAAAATATGATTAGTTAACTTGGTGAATTTTTTTCAGTTGGAGAAGAATTTTTTGTGCTTATTCTTCCTGCTGTGTATAAACTCGATTTGGTCTCTTGACATGTTTTCAGGATATGTATAATAAAGCAGCAGAATTTTGGGCTGAGTTGAGAGTGGAATTGCTATCAGCAAGTGAATTTCTCATTGACAAGAAACCCAATCCTCTTTGGAGATTATACTGGGCAAGCCATCAGGTTTGTAGTCTGCAAAGTTCATTGTGATTCATTGTTTGATACGGTATCTCAGTTTTAATTTCTTGATTCTCTTATTTAGTTGTTTTTTAATGTGTTTTTCTGTGTGCTATTGTAGCGTTTCTTTAAACACATGTGTATGTCAGCTAAGGTGTCTGCAATTGTAAGACTAGCTAAACAAGCATTGATGGAGAACAAGTGTGTGGTTATTGGCATACAGAGTACTGGAGAGGCACGAACTGAGGAAGCTGTGGCAAAATATGTGAGTCTGTTTCAATTGCATTCTGGTTATGCACTTTTTGTCTTTGTTTGAAAATAACTATGTATGCCTTTTTCATCAAAATTCATGTGATGTGTATTGTTTAATGCCGATTTGTTTTCATGCAACGTTCTTTGATATAGGGTCTTGACCTTGATGGCTTTATTTCGGGACCTCGGGAGCTATTGTTAAAATTTGTTGAAGAATATTTTCCTTTGCCTGTAAAGCCTCAACCACCCCTAGGTATTTTATGGTTTATACATTTTCTGTCTTTTTCTGCTGCCAATTTTGTTTCACTTGTTATTTTAATTCTTGTAGAGGAAAGTGAAAGTATAAAGAAGCTTCATCGAAAAAGACACTCAGAAACACCTGATGTTTCAGTTAATGAGAGAGTTAGGAAAGTTGCAAAATGCAAAGTATCGAGTGATGTTGAAAGTGACGAAGAATCTGAATGTAAGTTTCTTGAAACCTGGATGTGGCAGATCCTGTGCATATTCCTATTGACCGTGTCTCCTTCATAGTATCACTGATTTGGAAAATAGATATCCTTCCCTTTCATTCAGTTCCACTTTTCTATCTTTATTACCTTTGACCATGTCTTATTTAACGTTTTTTGATATTGTTATGTATTTTTTTTGTTGGAATTCCATTGGATATTACATGCTCATCAAAATCTTTGTATCCTTCTTGGGTGCATCATGACATGTCATATGCACCTGAAGCTTCATTTTTGGTCATCACTCCTATGTTTATCTCCTTATTAAAGTTAGCACTTTAAAGACGTATCCTTGTGGAACACCAATGCTCGTCGGACACTTTCCAACATGTGAGACACTTATTTTAAAAATATTTTTTAAACACGAACTCGCTTTAGACACTTAGGGGACATGTATCCATGGTTTAGACACATGAAACTAATTATAAGTTTGAACAAACTAACTTAGGATACTAATAAAAGAAAAACAATGTAGTTTTATAGAAATTAGTGTTATGTTGCCCTTTTATTTTATTTTATTATTTTCAATGACAAAATAAAACCATATATAATGTAACATATAATAAATGAATTAAACTACATATTTTTTGTGTCCCTTAGGTCTCATGTCTTGCATTTTATGAAAATATCCATGTTGGCGTGTCACATGTTGTATCCCGTCTGTGTCTTTGTCTGTGTCCTTGCTTCTTAGCTCTACTGTTAATCATTTTTTTACTAGTTTCAGTTTCATCAATGCAGCAGCTTCTGACGCTGTATCTACTGAATGGGAAGCTGAGAGTGATGATGAAACTGAGGAAGAATCTGAATGTAAGTTTCTTAAAACCAGAATGTGGCAGATCCTGTGCAGTTTCTTATTGGCCATTCTCCCTTTGTCGTATCATTTACTTGAATATTAGATATACTTTCCTTTCATCACCTTTGTAGTATCATTCAGCTCCACTTTTCTATCTTCATCACCTTCTTCCAGGTCTTATTTAACATTTATCCTATTGTCTTGTAATTTTTCTTTTGAATTCCACTGCATGTTTTATGCTTTCCAAATTATTTTGAAGCCTTCTTTGGGTGCATTAGTATTTGGCATTAGCACAAAATGCATCTGAAGCTTCATTTGTTGTTTTCTCTCATATCCTTGTTTAGTTGGTAAAAAAATATAACTATAAAGATGTGATGCCTGGGTTACAAATTGTTCTTTTTCTTACTGGTTTTCTGTTCATCAATTCAGCTGATTTTGAAGCGGAATCCTCTGATGAGTTTCAGATCCGTGACACTTACAATCCGGAAGAGGTATGTTTCTTTTATTATTGTTTGCATGGCTAAGTTTTTTGTAGATGTTTTATGTTTTGTATCCATTTTTTGTTGGAAAGAGAGAAAGTGCTCCAATCAATGTTCCTTTTGTGGCCAGGTTGTCCATCCTACATGTTTAGTCCCACCTGTTATAGATTCAGTATCTGGGGATTTGTCGTGTCATTCAGTCAACGGAGAAAAAGATCTCCAAGCGAGAAATGCCTCTTTTGCAGAACTATTAAAGAGGTATTCATATATGCAGAAGTGGTTCATAATTTTTTCCTTTAATTCATTTATCAATGTTATTTTTGGTTGCTTGCCATGCAGTTTTGTTGCAATTTTTATTTAACCAGTGTTTGTTGGTAGTATCACATTCTGTATATATGTTCTTAGGTATGAAGGTGCTGTGGAGCGTCAATCAAAAATTTTGGACGCAATTCGTTCTTTGGAGCTTCCAAACAATCCATTGGATGATATTATTGATCAGGTAGTTGCAACATGACATTCTTTCTCCCAGTCTGTCTGTCTGTCTCTCTCTCTCTCTCTCTCTATATATATATATATATATATATTTGGCATGCATCTTAGTTTTTTCCTCTTAATGACTTCCAATGTTTGTGCAGCTTGGAGGACCTGATAAAGTTGCAGAAATCACTGGGAGGCGAGGCATGCTTGTTCGGACCTCTGATGTGAAAGGTGTCACATATCAGTCACGCAGCACGTGAGTTTTCACATGCTTTCATTCAATATTTAATTCTATCTTGTGGCGGCTGAATCACCTTCAATGGTTGCTTTAGAAAGGATGTACCCATGGAAATGGTCAATATGCATGAGAAGCAGCTCTTCATGGATGGTAAGAAGCTGGTTGCAATCATTTCTGAAGCTGGATCAGCTGGTGTTTCTTTGCAGGCAGACAGAAGGGCAGTAAATCAGGTAGATTTAGCTTTGTGATATTTTTTACATCTTCATGGCATGGTTCATAAGTGTCTACAGTAATTTAGTTCTCTGCATATGATCGCACATTAAGAACTGAATTCCTAATTAACAGTGAACTCTTCGCATCATATGCTATGGTTCATGAACTACTTTTGAGTTGGCTCTTTTACTTATGATGTGCCCTTTGGCTCTTTTTTTTGTTCTTTTTTCTTTTCATTTCTTTCTTGCAGAAAAGAAGAGTTCATTTAACACTAGAACTACCGTGGAGTGCTGACCGTGCAATTCAACAATTTGGAAGAACTCACCGGTCAAATCAAGCTTCTGCACCTCAGTATAGGTAGAGATTGCATTCTATTTCTAATCTGAGTTGTAATAACATTATTTATGGATAGGATATGAGTGGAGAGTGAGAGCGAGAGAGCAGGATAGGGGTGATTCTAAAAGTCAAGAATGTCTTTAGAGCTTCATTATAAATAATTGGTACAGTTATTTGATTGACATATCTTTTATAAATGGATTATGGATAAGTAAAATAAAAGGATAATATATGAATAGATAAGCTGTCTACTACCAAGTCAACCTGAACTGGGTAATAACCTTTTTGCCAGTGGTGTAGATCTGCTGGTGCTGGAGTGTATCTCGAAAATAAGTGACAGCTGTTCAGACCTCGATTATTTGTTCGAGTGCTATGATGCTTTTGCTGCACTTGGCACGTAAAAAGTTTCACTTTGGCATCTCAAAAATGTCAAATATGACGGAAGGATGGGTAGCTGATCTCTAATAGTTGGACAAGGATGTCTATGTTGTGTATCATACACTCCACAAAACATTGTATTATATATTCTATTGTTTTGATTCACTTTTGTATTGACATTTAAAAGTTTTGACATCAGTGAGTTTATTGACCATTTTGGCATTTGAAAGTTTTGACATCAGTGAATTTATGTGGCTTATTACAAGCGAAGTGTGGCATAAGACAATATATATACCTCTTAATAGATGCCATGATCCAATTCTTTTGACTTGTTTCATGTGTTGGATCAGATTATTGTAGGTTTTTATTTGCCTTTTCTTTCATCAAGTGGCTTTTGTATGTCTTTGCAGGCTAATGTTTACAAATCTTGGTGGTGAATGCCGATTTGCATCCATTGTTGCGAAAAGATTAGAGTCTCTTGGAGCCTTAACGCAGGGAGACCGTCGGTGAGCTGGATTTATATTTGGTCTGGGGATATTGAGTTCATTGGTACAGAATTATTATTATTAAACCTGTATAGTATCAGTTGTAATGCTGTTGAGTGTTTTGCAGGGCTGGACTATCTCTGAGTGCTTATAACTATGATAGTGCCTATGGAAAGAAGGCCCTGATGATCATGTACAGAGGAATCATGGAGCAGGTTTTTATTTGTAACATTATTTTCATTATCCCGTCATATCCACTAATGTTTTTCAATCTCTCTCTCTCTCCCCTTTTTTACTTCCCGAAATTGGATGATATTTGATATTGCTATTTTTTTTGTTTTCCAGGAACCTCTGCCAGTTGTGCCACCAGGGTGTTCTTCTGAAAAACCAGATGCAATCCAATGTTTTATTGTAAAGGCGAAAGCTGCTCTTGTTTCTGTTGGAATAATCAGAGAGACAAATCCAGGTATATTTTTGTATGTATTGTCTTGTTACACCTGAATTAGATAATGTGTTATTTGTTCAATTTTCATTTCTTTTTTTCTTTCTTGTTAGCTTTAAAATATTACCAAAATCTATTCCCTATCTTCAGCTCTTAATTAAATTTTATTTAAAGGATTCTCTGTCATTCTAAGTGCAGAATCTTTTAACTATCATTCGATGATGTTTGATGATTACATTCCTGTTTATTATCATCTCTAGGTAATGGGAAGGACTCTGGAATATTTTCTGGCAAAATAAAAGATTCAGATCTGAATGATGTTGGACGCTTCCTTAATCGGCTCTTAGGGCTGCCACCTGATATTCAAAACGGGTCTGTGGTTTGTCTTCTAGTGCTTGTGACTATTCCATTTATGCGTGTGATGGGGAACGTAATGGTATTGAAGTAAAAGATTTAATGATTTATTTTGGCATTGTATATGTATTGAATTTTATAATTTTATTAGGTTTTATTTTCTTCTTGGGATTTAATTATTGTATTGATTTATTTTTAGTTAACTTTTCTTTAGGGTTACATATATGGCTTATATGTAATGGTTTTAAGTGACTATGGTTTTGGATATTAATTATTCAGATATTGATCTGATTTGATATTCTTTCTTCTTCTTGGTGCTACATCAGCATGCTTATAACAGTTGATATCACCATGTAAATACAGGCTCTTTGAGTTATTTGTCAGCATCCTTGATCTTGTCGTTGAGAAAGCACGCATTGATGGGTATTTTGACTTGGGGATTGTTGATATGAAAGCTAGCACTATTGAATTACAGGGAACTCCAAAGGTTATGCTTCTGTCGTTGCCCTTACTGGCTTCACTTTGGAAATGTTATATTAACTTCAATCTTCTTCCAGGCTGTTCATGTTGACCGTATGTCTGGGGCATCCACTTTACTGTTTACCTTCATCCTGGATCGTGGAATCCCATGGAAGGTTTTTTCTTATTTCTTTTCCTTTTCCTTTATGTGATTATATATAAATCAAGCCAAACCAAGTCTTGCGTCCCAATCTGATGGGGACATAACTACAAAAGTTTTATATCTGGTTCTTTGTATGCAGTCTGCATCTGCATTGCTGGAGGAGAAGCAAAAGGATGGCTCTTATTCAACTAATAATGGATTTTATGAATCTAAGAAAGAATGGATGGGAAGGCGACACTTCCTTTTAGCAGTTGAAGGGTATGACAATTGTGTACTTTGTAACCCTTTTTTCTTTTAAATGTTATAGTTATCAAAACTGTCTATGTAGATTAATGAAGAAAGTTATATGAGCTAGATTATATAATAATAAATATTTATTTAAAAAGGAAAAAAAGAAAAAGAAAAAGATCTTATTAGTTTCTTGGACTACATTGAACACATTTGAAAGCATTACACAATCTTTTCATATGTATTCTGCCATGAATGTCCTTTAAATAAAAAAGCTTCCGAATTTCGTAATTTCTTTTCTAATGTGTTTCAGTACTGCTGCTGGATTTTACAAGTTATTCCGGCCTGCTATTGGGGAGTCACTTAGGTATGAAAAATATTTGTTGATCAGTTCCAGCCTGCTGTTCGGTTTTCTTGCCCTTATTTTTTCTTGGATCAGTTCTGTAGTATTCATTGCCACATGTACTCTATTCCTCTCTACCATTTTCCAGGGAGATGTCTTTAGTTGAACTGAAAAACAAGTACAGAAAGATTTCATCTTTAGAGAAGGCTTGTAGTGGTTGGGAAGATGAGTACAAAGTTTCATCCAAACAGGTAAATCCTTGGTGATTGCTCTTTTTTTTTTTTTTTTTGGTTAAAGCAGCAATGCAACCCCTATTGGTAATAATTAGAGAGGCCCACGATGCTCATATACTTTGCAACACTGACTCTGCATGGAGAGATAGACCAACAGATTATACAGACATTATTTGGCAGAACACAATAACATAACTAAATGATTGAACGGAAGAAAGTGATTAAGTCTTGACTGAACCTCCAGAAATGGAAATGTCTTTGGTATCGTAATATAGAATAAATCTGAAAGTCAGTTGGCAATGAGTGGAGAGGTCCACAAAGCTCATATACTAGTTTGGGAGGTTCCACGTTTCTGATGTGACCAACCTCTTCTTCCTTCAAAAATTTCTCACAATAAAATGTTTGGGTGGGTAGGTTTCTTGTTCAGTTATATTTGGTAGGACCTGTGCACAGTATATCAGGTAGGGGATAATAATTTGTTGCTTATAACCAAATAAAGCCAAACCAAAGAAAGGTGATCCTTGTCCCAATTGTTTACAAACGTCTATATCATTTTTTTGCTTGGAAGAATAATGAAAGGTAATATGATTCTACATTAACAGTCTTTGTTAAGCATAAATCAAAGTCGGCTGATTGTTTTTTCGTGTTGGCTAATTTTTCCAGATTAGTTACTGACTGGTGAGTCTTACATGTTTGTTATTTGTGCAACCATTCTTTGCTGCCTCTTGATGAATCTTTATGTATTAAAAAACTTACAGACGATGCTCTGATGGATCATGTTCGTGCTAACTTCTAATGATTTCATAGCTTGCATTTTCTTCGACTTTTGTTAGATTGAACATAGAAAAAAGAAAAAAAGATAAAACACGAAGGTATAACGTGGTTTGGTCTTATGACCTGCGTCCACACAAAATCCCATAGAGCTACGTGTTTATTATATTTACTTGATATGTTGATACATTAATCATGCATATATTATAGGTAGATGATACATTACACATGCTGAAATATAAATTTAGTAAACAACCACGATCATGAGATTTATTTATGATTGCACCAATCCTGGGATTTGATAACTATAATCCTACCAATTATGCTTTTACCAATAATGAGATTTGTTTGTGTTGACTCATTAATCATGGGATCTTCAACTTATTTATCCCAAAAAAAAAAAAAAAAAAAATCATGGGATCTTCAACTTGGCACGTCGAAAGGTTGACATGAAATGGCCAGCTTGAACCAAAAGAATTGGGGTGGTTGCTGGCATTGTGGCGTTGAAGTTGCTGGGACCTGCGACGTTCTTGTAGTTTGCACAGAATGACCATGGTGTATGTGGGTCAGGACTGCGGTATTGTTGATTGCTGCTGGCTTTGTACATTTGTTGAAGTTTCACATAATGACATTTTTCAAAAATTGTCAAGAATTCAACATTGTTGAAAGTTTTCAGGACTACAATTGCCTTGACAAATCTCTCCTTGAATGAAAAATGAAGGGAACATGTGTATGGTGTAGTAAGGAAATTTGTACAAACTTTTTAACAAAGTGTGTTCTAAGAGTTTCAAAATCTAGATATGAATTTATCAAAATTTTGAAAATTTGAGAATTAAGTTTTCCAAGTGCCAGAAACATTTTGGATTATTTGGTAATATCTATATATATATTTTAAATATTAAGTCTGATATGGAATTTCAGTCATTCATCATTAATTAAGCTATGGGTTACCAAGTTTAAAAATAAAATCCTTTTGGGTGAATCATTAAATGACAAATTGAAAACCTATAAATGTTAATTTGAAAATGATACCAATGGGTCATCGGTTGACCAACCAGATTTATATAAACTAATGACAAATTGAAATAAGTTATGCATAAGCTATACTTTTTAAGGAAAAAATTTATACAAATATATGTGTGCACATATCTGCACTTTTGACTTGGCAAGTGTTGAAGACAATTAGAATAATGTATTCATTATGCTATCGAGCAAGGTAAAAGTTGAGTTGATACTTTTCTACTGCAATAAGACATTAGATATTTTTTGGCATCAATTTTCTTGTTGGTTAGAATTTGTTTGAAAGCTTCAGCCGCAAGTTTTTTAGCTGAATTTGTCTTGCATGTTAAAATTTTCCAAGGATTAAATTTGGGTAGGTATGCCTTATTGCCAATGCTATCTTAGCTTACTTGTTCCAGTGGCTTACAGTTGCCTTGACCTGCAGTGTATGCATGGCCCTAATTGCAAGGTTGGTAAATTCTGTATGATTGGAAGAAGACTGCGGGAGGAAAATGTGTTAGGCGGCCTTATCCTTCCTGTTTGGGGATCGATTGAGAAGGCCATCTCTAAGCAGGTAACTTAACCCTTTTGCTTCTTTCTTTGATTTTGTGATTTTTGCTGACATTTTATATTTAAATGAGATCCTTATTGCCATTGGTAGTCCCCTTCAAAGCCATGGAAGACTTGTAATCAAGGTCTATATTTTTTAATTTTTATGTTTGTGTATGTCAGTTTTCAGTGAAATCTCAATATTAGGGTGAAGCAACCAACTCTTGCACTTGCTTCGTGAGAACGTTTCTGCGTTGTTTACAAGTTCTAACGAAGATTATCATATCCATCTTGATTTTTCCTGATTTCTTCCATATTCTCTGCTATCTCTTCAACTCTTGAGGTGTCCTCTTAGCTTTTTTGTCAATCATGTCATTACTTGTTCTATCCTGCCGATGTTCAATATAAACTGTGAAATAATAAAATTATTTGTTTTAGTTTGGGGATGGGGAATGGATGTTTTGGAAAAACAGTGGTGATTTTTGGTGCACTTGGCTTCATTGTGGGAGTACAATCTTGTTCCTTTTTGGTTGTGGAGGGTAGGTGTCTGAGGAATGTAATTATAAAAGATTAGATGCAAAGAACACTATTGGTCACTTTTGTTCACTTTTTTCCATGGTGGTTTTGTACTTAGTTTTACTTCATAATTTCAGAATAACAGTTGTTATTGTCGCCTGTGTGCAAGTCTAGCTCACCACTGTTGTGAAATCATCTTAATGACTAGATCTTTTAGACAAATCTCCTTCCTATTTAATGATGTCGGTTTTGCTGCTTAATTTCGGATTAGCAGTTGTCATTTGGCACCTGCATGTGACTGGCACACCATTGCTATTGTGATATTACATTAATGTGTTGTTTTTTACACAAACAACCTCCTATTTGACCGTTTTCAAAACTATGGAGGTTATTTGGGTAGTTTTAGCACTGTCTATATTTGTGCATTTATATATATATGGTTTTCCATTTCCATGCCTCTTTCACAATGTGATTATTTTCAAGATGTTTATCTATAATAATTGAAATCTCTACATACCATATTTATCTGTACAGGCCCGCCAAAGCCATAAACAACTCCGTGTAGTGCGTATTGAGACTACTACGGACAATCAACGAATTGTTGGCCTCCTTGTCCCAAATGCAGCAGTTGCATCCGTGCTTCAAGGTGACTTTCTTTCTCTCTTTCATGCATGCACGGCCAATTAGCGATAACATTGTATCATTATTCATGGTCTCCACAAAAAAAAAAAAAACATTTGTGTACTTTTCTAGTATTGTGCCTTTATGCTAGTTGTTTGACAGAAGTTTAAGTTACTAAGTGATTTTAGCACTAAATCATGAGTACTACAGATTAGAATAACATTCGAGGACAATATTTGTCTATTGAATTTTAATATCAAACCATGCTTAACTTGTCTCATCAAATTTCATGTAGACCATTTTAAAGCAATTTTACCTTTTCGAATGAATCCCATTATGCATTATATTAAAAATATGTGTCATTTTAATTTTCTGGACTTGTACGCCTCTGACACTGGAGGATAAATCTTTGTGCTCTTACCTATAGTCTATGATATTATCTTTGGAAAGGAATAGAAAGAAAGAAAAGAGTATCAGTTACTTAAGTTTGTTTGGATAAAGCATACCATAGACGAATTGAATGAATTTTTTGTTGGGAAATTAAACTACTATTGAGTTTTGCACTTATTACACTTAGTCACTTTGGCTATAGAAATTGTAGTCAAGCTATGGGTAGGGATGGCAATATGGACCCCTTCTTTCTCTGCCCTTGATAGGGGACAGGGATGAATTTGGGAAACTTGGTTGAGGTTGGAGTTGGGATCAAGGGTCCATTTTATTTTTTATTGTATGTTTAATCTTAATAGTTATTATTACAAAAATACCATTTGGTCCATTTTAATATGTAACTCTTTTCGTAGTGGGCAAAGTTCTCCCTCACCTCACCCTATTGCCGTTCGATGGAAATACTAAAATGATCATGTTATCTTTGGTGAAAATCATGCTAAGGCAACCCAAACATGAACATCCCCAAGAAATATCTCTTTGTTCCCAATATAACAATATAACAACCTGCTAACTCCAATATAACAACCTGCTCCTCTATTTGCCCACCCAGCAGAATAATTCCCACTTCATTGCCCTTCCTAGCTGAAATAATAATTGGAGAATAGTATGTTACCCAGAAAACTTCAAGGGGTTGTGTGTAATGTGAGGTGTTATAATAAGTACAAAAGGGTAATTTATATAGTTTATCTAATTTATTATATTGATATTTGTTGTTGAGATCAGGCGATGTCATGTTCTATACACCTGCTCCTCTATTTGCCCTTACCCAGCAGAATAATTCCCACTTCATTGCCCTTCCTAGCAATTGGTGATCAAAGTTAATAGTATGTTACCCAGAAAACTTCAAGGGGTTGTGTGTAATGTGAGGTGTTATAATAAGTACAAAAGGGTAATTTATATAGTTTATCTAATTTATTATATTGATATTTGTTGTTGAGATCAGGCGATGTCATGTTCTATACAAACAAGACGAAAAAAAACCATTAGTGTCGTTTGATGAATATGTCTCATACTCCTAATGATTGATTATTTTTAAATTTTCTGCTACAAGATTCTTACCTGGAGAAATTGAAATTAATGGTGACAGATTTGGCATGGGTTCAAGATATCGATGATTGAGATGGAACAAGGGCGGGGGTGGAGGATATTTTTGGATATTTTTGGCTATGGTTGATGGCATTGTATGAAATGCTGACGATGTTTTCCGAGCTCTTGTCCATATGCTTTTTGCTTGACTATTGTTCGATCACAGTACAATGTCGTCCAAATGTATATCTCAAACACAATATTTTTGGCTATGGTTGATGGCATTGTATGAAATGGAGACGATGATTTCCGAGCTCTTGTTCATGTGCTTTTTGCTCGACTAGTATTCTCGAACACAGTTTAATGTCGTCCAAAATGTATAACTCAAACACAATATATATATACAGTGTACATGGTTTTCCAGGATATGTAATAGCTGTTGCAAATGCAATATAGTGCTTTTGGTTCAAAGCTTGTTGTCTATACGGTCTGCTTCGCTAGAATTCCTTACTGATGAGAGATTGTTTATGGAATTGAAACATGGTATCACACAAACACACCCCATTTGATAGCATGAAACATACCTGTATGTATTGAAATTATAATCCACACTTTCAGGTTTTGCTTTTTGAACCAACACATGGAATATCTATTTTAAGTTGGTATAAACCAATAATAATTTGAAACACTATATATTACTTGTTACGTAATTGTTTATCTATTCGTTAGTTTACCCATATGTTCATGTATTATTTATTTGTTCACTTGTTACTTATTTTTTGTTCATTTATCAGTTTAAATTATTACCATAATTAGTCGACCGTTATGACCTATTTCATATGACTTTTTGGATCAATTTTTTAACGACTTTATCAGCAGTTGATAATCTAACAATAATTGATAAATATAGAAAAAATAAATCTTTAAAATACTATATTTTTTTTGATTAATCACGTCTTTAATCAAAATAAAATAATAATGTCATACATCCTATTAGAAATATATTTATCAAAGATTTTAATAGAAAAATTTCCTATTAAAAAAAATGAGGGGGCGGTGGACGTGGAGGGTGACGTCGATGAATTGACGTGAGCTCTTACGTTGTTGGATGTGGGTTTGGTTGTGTCTTTGTTTGTGTGTGAGATAACGCGGAAAATCGAGTCAGATAGATGTCGGACCACCGAGGGTACATTAGTAATTTTCTTATTTCTGGGATTTTTTCATCATACCGAAGTGGGGTTGAGCTGGCCAACTGGGAATACGGACACGCGTCGATCTGGGAGCCTTGTGGTCCCCACTGCTAGCTGGAACCCTCTCCCCCCTTTCTCTCTCTCTCCTCGTAAATTTTGATTCTTTTTCTTTTAGCAAAACGTGCGTTTTGTTGATAGTGACTCGTTTGGTGTTTGATGAAATGACCCAGGAGGGAAAAATTAGTCTGCCTTGTTGGGTCTACGGGGATACCTCGCGAATTTCATTTTAATAATTTGAATTATTTAATATATAAAATTTAAGTATTATATATTTATAAAAAAATATTTTATCATATATCGATAATTACGTAATTAAATAAGTTTTGTATTAAAAAAATAGACGGTAAAAAAATAAATAGTTAATAGAAATCTAATCTAATCAAATAGCTATCAATATTCGATCAAGGTAATTTTTTACAATCTTATAGTTACTTGAAGAGTTTTACACATTGAACGGTTCGGATTATCGAAACGAAACCCATGGTGAGCCTCCACGAACCCAACAGTACTCTTCAATCCGATCTGAGATTGAAGGGAAGCCAGTCTCAAGAAAAATTATTAATTGGTTCAAAGGCGTCAATACCTTTTATTAATTATAATTTATCATGTTTCTTTATATTTTTCAACCACCTAACACAAATTTGTAAACTCCATCCCTTCACTAATCATAATACTGTTGAGACATCATACGAGAGTAATGCTACGTATCATAAAAAAATTATCATAAAAATGATCATGAAAGATTGTTCACAAATTTGTGTTAGGTGGTTGAAAAATATAACTTCTCCCATGAAGAGCACAACTATATCGGCGTCTACCAAGATATTAATAAAATAAAAATAAAAATAAAAATAAAAAATCTTATATTAATTATCAAAATTTTGTAAATTTTTTTTATAGAAATTTTTGGTAGAAAGTCATCAATCTCAAATTTCATTGTCTTAGAGAAAAATTAAAATGTTTTTAAGAACAAAAGTCAAAATATGATAAAAATACCCTTAACGTCTAACATTCTCTTCCATCACCTTACATTATTTAATTACCACAACTATCACCGACTATTGTCGACCACTATTGACCATGGTTGATCAGTGATAACTTTTCAGCGATCACTGTTAGCTGACTTCATTTTTTTTGTAACGCCCTCAAAAAAATACATAAAATCCATCAATTTATACATGCAATGGTATAAGAGAAATCAGCACCTTTCCATTCATCAGAGTAGTTTTTACAACAGTATTACATGTTAACAACAAAAGTAAATGCCCTACGGGCTTACAGCTTTCCAAGTCAACACTTGGTTACAAAAGAAGAGTACTAACTCTATACAAAATAAGCCATTGGCTTGATATACATGTAATACAAACAAAATAATCAAAAATAGTCTTTAACTCCCATAACCATCCAAGCTATGTCCTTGGAGGTGGCATGCTACCTGCATCTGAAAATAATGTCCCATAAAGGGTGAGCCAACGCCCAGTAGAGGTATGCTAAACACAATATGAGCAGTAACTAAGACATTAGTAATTGATAAATATTTGACTCTCATAAACCAATTCATACACCATTTCCATTACATGACCACTATGTCTATATTTCATTTCATTTTCCATTTCTTATTCAATTCTCAGTTCACAACCATGGCTCAGAACCTGGCCAAACACTCTAAATGAGATAATAATTTATATTAAACGTTTCCTATTTCACAATAGACAAGCATACTAGCTGTATCACCATCTCAACAGATAAGCATATGAGCTATATTAACACTTCAACAGATGAGCATATGAGCTGTATCACCGGAGTCCATCCCCTATCTTCTCCTAAACATTAACCGGTTTAGAGGTCCATCCCCTATCTTCCCCTAAACTGTGGAGTACATCCCCTATCTTCTCCCACACAACATAATGTATATAAATAGTTATCATATACATCATCAAACAATACATAAAAGTTAATGTATTCTTTCAACTATCATATACGATGACACATTCCATTGATTAGTTTTAGTTTGCCTAATCATCATGCATTGTTTACAACAATCACGACTACCCTCCACCGGTAGCCCAAGGCAATTATTTCTAAACAGATAATAAATGCGTCAAGAGATAATTTATCCATATTTCCAAAAGTGAGCGATTAATAAATCTAACTTTACTAATCCATCTCATAATGAGCCAATTTCATTATTTTCAACTCAATTCCATATTTTCTCAACACTTGTCATTAATTACACTAGTGACCCAAAAATACCCAAACATGGCATTTTTCTCTTGATTCCCAATATTGACTCCAAGAGTCCATATATTACCAACAACATCAATATACTCATTTTGAAACCCAAATAAACAAAACCCTATTTTCAAAATTATACATTTGAAACCCTAGTTTCCAAAACCCAAAACCATTTATACAAAAACTCAATATTTAGGTCAAAACTCATAAAAGTGAGTAGGAATCCCTACCTTAAATTCGGAGCCCAAGGAAAGGAGATGAAGAAAACCAAAATGCTCCAAACTCCAAGATCCACGGATCAAAACGATGCCCTCGACGATCAACACAACTTTTACAAAGGCCAAAGGAAAGGGAAACACTCTAACTAGATCAAACTCTAGAGAAAAGGGAGTTTCTAGAGAGAGAGAGGCTCTCAAAATTGGTTTTGGGAAAGGAAGAGAGAGAGAGTAAAAGTAAAAAGTGATTCAAAAATGCCTAACTGCCTTCTGATATACGACATTCCCACTCGAGCGGAGAACAAGACGCTCGAGCGTCAAGCACAAAAATCTGGACACGCTTGAGCTCAAGAAGGCCCGTTCGAGCGCCAAGACACAAGAATAAAGTACATCCGCTCGAGTGCGAAAACCAGTCCGCTCGAGTGTAGATTTCCCCCTCCCAGAACTTACATAAAAAATGTATTACCCGCTTGAGCTCCAACAAGCCCGCTCGAGCGCAGGAAATCCGCTCGAGCGTAGAAATCACACCTGCAGAAGTTTTGCAGAGCACCAAAAATACTGGGAGTGTGCAATCTCACTGAGCGATAGACGACCCGCTCGAGCGGAACGACCAAAAACCTGGCAACAAGATTTTAGACCAAGGCTCAACCCACCTGCTCGAAACATGCCCAACACATCCTAAAACTCAAACAAATGGAATCAAAGGATGACAATAAGATAGATACAACTACCAACTCCGCGGAACCAAAGTCCGGAATACAACAGATATCGAAAGGGAAAACTGGGATCACTATATTTTTGGTGACCATAATCAAGTCGGGATTTTTGAATGATCATTTTCTCATAATTTTCCTTATCATCCTCCAACAACTCATCTTCTCCAAAAATCTACTTTGGCCGCTATTTTCAGCAACTATTCTCAAACTATCAACTAATAATGACTGACGTTGCTACCGCTACCACTTACCAAATAACTATGCCATTATTTTTCTGCCATTATTTTTCTTTCAAAGAATAATATGACAATTTTTTCAAATTTATATATTTTTATTCGAAAATAAGAAATTATTATAAGAGCATCTTCAATGTTTTACTTTTTTTTCATCAAATTTAAGTAAACGTTTCATTTGATGTTGCGCATTCCAACGTAGCATTTTTTAATTTTATCAAACCACTGGTTGACTGGGAGGACGACTAAGGGGATGTCTGGCCGGTCGATTAATCAGTGTAATTTTTTCATAATTTTTTGCAAAAGAGGCGGTTGAGTGTCTGCAACTTCAACGCTATGAGCAGTAAATTGATAAAAGCCACAAGCTATCCCCAATTTGATGGAAGATTTAAGATATCCTAGATTTAATATTTGTTTGGTGAAAGGGTTAGAGTAGCGAAAAGCTTCTCTTTTGGTGCAGCATTGGAGATTGTTTAACTATGTCATTTTTGTATATCAAAACTAAATTTTAATTATTAATTATCACGACAATAGTTTTAATGGGATTAAAGAGAATATATATATATATATATATTATTTTAATATGATGTAGGAAGAATGATATCATATTATTGGAAAACTTTTGCAATACTAAAATAGAGGCTCATAAATTAAAAATAGGGAATTTTTTTTAAGGTCCCTGGTATTAAGAATTTTCATAATGTCTAAGGTCCCTCAACATTGATCAGAGAATTTCTCTGGACGAATTTTCTCTGGACTTCACAGAGAAATTCTGGTTCATAGAGATTTTCTCTGGTCGAATTTTCTCTAGATTTCACAGAG